CAATCAACCTTCATTACACAACTTTACTCGAAACGGATGTAAATTTCACTCTTACATACTTAGAGATTCCTTAAAGCCGGACTTTTCTTCACATACAATTCATTGCTGTTGTACGATTGTAAGCCTCGAGAGCAGAGGTCAACTGATGCAATTTCGCAATGCTTCTCGTAAACGACATCAACATGACTGTTGCAGCCGGCCAACAGCCCCGGTCGCCAATTCGGCTGGTATCAGAATTCTCGATGGCGAGATTCTCCTTGATTGTAGACGTGTTTCCTCACTTTTTGTCGGCCCGTTTCTATCCTCATTTGGACCGGTTTCCACGGTCCGGCAACTCACCCAACCTCGGGAGCAATTGATATTCGGTTTTGTCACAATGCCCTGTTGCCTAGTCCACTCGCAACCAGTTCTCCCGATCCTTTGCATACGTACATGTGCGTGTGCCTTTTTGCGCACACTTTCCATACCCTCAGCGAACTGAACCGGCGATTTGGCCCTGTGGCAAACATGTACCTCTCTGCCAGAGCTCCTTGACCGGTCGTGTCAGGCCTGAGTTTGCCTCGACAACCTTCGTCTCCCGCTCGGGGTCAAGCCAACCCTGGGCGCCCCTTCAGCCCGGCTCGGCCACAGACCCCGGAGCATCAGAGATAAGTGGATAGCAGCACACCTCGTTGGCACAATGACACATACGCTTGTGGCCATAACACATGTAAGCAATACACGCGGCGCAGTGACAGTTGAAGCCGACCCCGAGTTAATATCGCAACAAACAATCACACAATCACACAATAACACACATGTGCAGCCATGTAAACACACATTTCTGGTGGTGAGTGTGTGGACAGACCGAAAGAGACCGGTCTGGAGAGGCCTGATAGACAGACGGAATTGGCTATCTCCGTGAAGACGGACGCCAGGCTCAGAGGCACATGTTGATACCGGTGGGCATCAAGCCATTTAGGCCCGTCCGATGTAACCGCTCCGATAAGAGACCCGACACAATGAAACAGATGTCCCGATAAGAGGAAAGATCGGGGCGCATTTCAAGGCGGTCACTCGTCCAGAGGTCATTCCCAAGCCACTCAATCCCCCCGTTTCACCTCACCTCAGCTTAATCCTGTTGCCTTGACTCCACAATAGGCTTGTTATACGAAAATATAATTATATATATATATATATATATATATGGGGATATATTCATACATGTATATACAAATATGCAGATTTGTGCGCATACATACATAAGTATGTGTATATATGCATATGTACAAGTATAAATAAATCATTTAGACTGACAGCATATACATATGTGCAAATTATTATATACATGAATGTATTTATGTATGAGGTGTATGCATATGTATATATACATATATACACATGTATTTATATATAATATTATGTTCGTGTTTTGGGGGGTCAATGTAGCGGGATGAGACTGTAGCGAGGTGTCTGTATGCAGAAACTTAGAGAAATACAAACAAATAAATTAGTACATCTATGTGAAAACGCCTATTTGTACATATATATATATATATCCTGCCAGTTTGTGTGATTTCCCAGGTTGAACAATCGATGGGCTTATTCCATCCTGTCTTTGGGACTGACCATAAGTCCAGACAAAACAGATTCCCAGCCGAATTCTTGCCGGCTTCTACCATAGAGATGGCACGATTTCAACGAGTCAAAA